GGGGGGGGGGGATGTAGTGATGATAAAATTACGAAAGTAATTATGTTATTTTACAATGTGTGAAATTCAAATCACTATATTAGTTATCAGATTATCAGACATCGATAACAATTATACATTAGGTATAACGATAGAGTCGATAGACCGAGATAATATTATTTATGCCTTATGCTAATATTTTTGTTTTTATATTCAATATTTTTTTCTTATACTTAATATTATTACTTCGTGGGTTGATTTATAATACATTTTAAAATTGATGAAAATATTAAAAGTAAATTGTTGTATATTGTATAATACGTAGTTATTTTGAATGTTTATTTCTACCGCTCACAAACCAAAAAATTCGCCTAAACTCTAATTTAGAGGGTATGGGGAGGGGGAATGAGATTTAAGTAAATTTACAAAGAGGGCGTTGAAAGTTGAAAGAAAAAGGTTGGCAGCCGTTGGTCTAGTGAAACAAATAAAGTTTTTGTTATAAAAATATCATAGGATCAAGGTTCCATAAAAATAACGATGCTATGACTAATTGCGACTTTTTGTTCCAAGTAAATATTAATATCATTGGGGAGGTAAGCTATATAATATTTTGTAGAGCAGATACTAAGTATAACTATTCCGATGAAAGATAAATGGAATATTCATATTGCTTATCACATTATGTGTGTCTTAATATACCCCCCACTGACCGATGATCATAGAATATTTGTAATTTTTTTACCAAACTTTTTATGGTTCAAGGTGAGAATGTAAGTTAATGATTTAGTGATGATAAATAATAAATATAGGTAACCTGCCATGAAGACCCATGGTCAAATTATTTAAAAAATATGTAAATCATGTACCAACATTTATTAATGGTTGTGAGTTTATTTTAATTGACATACCAGCTGTTTTTAAAAACATTTTAACCACTGATGAGACATGAGAGGGATTGGATGGAACGTCATTCTACGTTTTTTAACTTAATTTTTCAAATTAACAGAAAAAACTAATTTATTAAACTAGTCACTCAAGCTAAATTATTTAGTAAGTTAGGTAGGTAGGTAATTAGAAAATTAACTAATTAATTAATTAAAACATTTTTAATTAAAATAACTTTAACAAGTTGATTTAATGATGCCTAAAATATTATATTATTATGCTCTGTAATAATACACAGTGTATAATAAACATTGTACAAGATAATATAATATTAATTGGAAATATTATCATTATGTCGCTTAATATTTATCTTGTATTTGATCAATATTCCTCTATAGTTTAATTTTTTTAGAATATTTTGATTTCGATATTGTTCATTACATAATTTAGTGTTTACTTATCGTTATTACTTTAATAGTTCTTGGAAATAGACAAAAAAACTGTATTTGTACAATTAATTATTGATGATGTTATTTTAAACTTTTTTCTACCTGGGAATACTTTGATTGTGAACATTTTTTAATCTATTATCAACCAGCTTGACATTGTTTTCAAATGTTAAGTTCAATAACTTAATTGATAGCAATATAACAATAGACAATAGGCAGTTTTTGTGTGTATAGTAATGCAACTTGAAGTATAAACCCGGTTAGTCCTAGCACATCGATTTTTTATCCATTCGGGGACAGCTTAACACATAATCGGCTTACAATAAAATATATCCGCTGTATATCTAAATCAAATATTTGGTCATGTGGCATACCTAGCCTGTAGAACATTATATTATATTATTAAACGTACTCCTTGTGAGACGTCAGACTTTACACTGTTACAATGCACCATCAGATACTTTCGCGTTCCCACATAGTACCTACGTCATTATGTACTTTAGTCGGGGATAACATCGTGACAAAAACTAACCCGGATAATGTTCAGATTGACCCATTCTTACATACACTTTCTGTCGGACGGGTATAAATGCCTGAAATTGGGTAAGATCAATCTCACCCGGGTAATGCCGACATTACACAAAATCGAGGATTGCGCGTACGATAATACGTTATGTGCACGATTTATTGTGTACCAGATAGTGACTGTTGACTCTTATCGGCAGAATAAATGACAAATAAGCTCATTATGTTTTGATGTATTTTGAACGAAGTGATCTTCCAAAAAAATCAATTTTTCCTAAAAATTACTCATTTCAATCAGACGCCAATCAGGTGCTCTCTCAAAAGTATACTAGGTATTAAGACTTCAATCATACCATTAATTTCATTGTTATTTAATAAGTTAACAATAATATTATCCTGAAGTCTTGAAATATTTACCGATTAACATAATTATTACCTATACCTAATATTGTATTATGCAATTTTCAAAGTAATTTGGTCATTTTATTTGCATGGGGTTTGTGGCATGAATTCCCAAACATGTAAAAAATTATAATTCAAATAATTCAATTTTTATAATTCAAAAATGTTGCTTTCAATTTAAAATCAAATTATTATTTTTTTGTATTCGATATCCACAAAAAACTTAAACTTGGGTTCAATAAGAACATTGTAAAATTTTCATACTACCTGTAGCTAAAAAAAAGTCTCAAAAAGGATATATCATTTTTGTACTTTCATGGGTTATTTTAGGTTTGGGTTCATAAAATATTTGATTTAAGCATAAATTTACAAAAAACGAGGGTAAAATATGTCAACATAGGCGTTAGATATTTTTTTTATCTTTACTACTTATTACAACATCTCGATCAGATGTTTATTTCGATTTGATTTATAACGTTATATTCGTTCCGTCGGCTGTCCGTGTTCATGACATATGCTTTTTAAGGATTGGCCGGTTTGAAGTGTTTGGGGATCGTGCACGCCGACCTCAAGCCCGACAACATAATGTTCAACTCCGGGACGGGGAACAATATTCTGGTGAAGATCATCGATTTTGGTTGGGCATTTGACATGAAGAACGTACACACAATGTACCAAAAGGAGATACAGGCGATCCCGTACCGCGCACCTGAGGTGTGCTTCCAAGGCAGACTGGACCATGGTCTGGACATGTGGGCCCTGGGATGTATCATGCCGGAAATTGTTACTGGCGTCAAGTTGTTTGACGTGGAAGAGGAGGAGCTGTTGGTCAAAATGATTATACGTACACGGCCCATGCCCAATTACTTGGTAACGGATTTACCAGCGGATATTCTCGAAACGGAACTCACCGTCGGTTGGATTCAATTTCAGGTGATTATAATTAACATGACATAGTAACACAATATTGTTATCACTGTTGTTATCTATCATTACCTATTCATTTTGCTCTTCGACTATTATAAAATACCCGCCACATCGTAAGTAGTCGTCTGCTTCCATCCGCCACTGACTTGAACTTAACAAGTATACAACTGTTACATTTTAATAAGTAGCTATTTATGATATTTAAAAGTTAGTATTTTAAATAATTTAGTAAACCTAGGAGATATACCTACTACAAAATATTATGATAGATAGTACAATTTTAAATTTTAATACAGTACCTATTCTTACTAATTTCCACTACAATAAACGTCTGTGAAAACTCACTTAGATATACACATATTATGAAGATAATTTTATACAGTTTTGAATTATCTATTTAATGTAATATTTTGTCTGAAGTACTCCTGTGCACAATAAACATACTGCAATAAGTAGTAGTCTTTGTCGTACCATAGGTATGCGTCTTAACAATATCCATTATAAACGATTTAAAAAAAATAAATCTATATAAAATTATACATATTATTACATCGTACATTTCGTTTGTTGGACATTTCATTACAATACACTAGTTAGTAATTGCAGTCAGTCACACTGACACTACTACTGTACATGTACCTACGTCCTACTGTTTTTTTTTTTTTTTTAATCCCATAGGCTCATTTAAACTAATTTGCCTTTTTACCAGGACGATCGGAACACGTCGTGTACGATTATTTAATTCCGACTATTGAGTGTCATTGTTAATATTATAAAATGCCTACTGCTCGCAGAATAAACTGTAATAATATTACGTGCGTGTGTTGATCACATAATCGTTGTGTCGTTTCACCGTGTTCGTTGCATACATTTCACTAATCATAATATTGCGCACGATTAATTACCACTAATTATTACATTCATGTAGGCAGGTGGTTTACGCTACCTAAATTAAAAGTATATGATAGGTACTATAACTATGGCTAGTAGAGCATAAGTAATAACACGCCTTATACATTTTTTTATTTATAAAAATCAAATTACATTTTTGAAACGTGCTCCTTGTACGGTTTCCAATACTCGTCCAGTCGAATATAATTGTTTTTACACATTTCATACGTTTTCTCCAAAGCATACCTGTTGTAGTATTGTGTGGTATATTATTATTAATACTGATTTTTGCTTTTGGATTTGATTGGATTTTTTTCTGGCAAAAAGAAACGTCCGATATATACAGAAAACAGTCTTATGGTATGCCTTATTATTAAAAACGGGATACGGCTTATTGTAATACGGAGGAATTGTTTGATAATAATATGCATATACGTATATATTATTTTATTGTTTGCGGTCCGTTATTGTAAAGTTTTCACAAGACTGAAACGGTTTCCGACTGCATGCATTGTTATTGGCTAGAATCTGAATCCGTTTTGTGAGTAGAAAATATGAGTTTAAAAAATAAATAAAACAAACTGCTGTACGTTAAAAGCCATTTCGAATTTGGGCTATTGCGGAAGAATTACTTAGGACAGCATATTTTATTTGAGACATTATTTTTATTGAGAATGATGGTGTACGGTTTTTTCTAAACATCATCTCATACAATAATATTTATTGTTTGTGATGCATCCAGTCAGGAAAATGTGTGCAACTTGAGGGTCCCACACAAACTCAACCACAATTATTAGATGTTTGATTTTTGTCGGTAAATGGTTAATGGTTTGAATAAATATATGATATGGTGCAAAACCGACTACGAAGAATTAATTATCGATAGTCCATAATTGTACAATATGATTCAATAAAATATTAGAAGGTAACGAGTTTGTTATTGTGTTTAAAAAAAAAAAAACACGTCAAAAGAATATAGAGCTGCTCATTTTATCAATGTGAATTCAAAACTAAACAGTTTTTTTTTGTTTTTAAGACCAATAATTAACTTTAAAAAAAAAAAAATTAGTGATATCGTTACCTAAATGTTTATATTATATATTGTGGGTACTTCATATTAATATAATAAATTATTGAACAAGTTATTTACGTATTTCGTATTGTAGTAGGTAATACAATGCATATTTAGCATTAAATAAGTATAAGATGGTTATATATTTTAAATTTCCGTTAATGATCGTGATTAGACATGAATGAATATTTATCTCACTATTCGATACAAATTAATCTTCACAAAAATCTGAATACGAGGCGATTTTTGAAAATATGATATTAAAACGCACGGATACATATTTATTTTTAATACTTTTTTTGTTTATAAATCTTCATGCAAGTTAATTTTTAATATATTATGGTTGTTATTTGAGTAACATGCAGGCTGTTGATAATTATTTCACGGAAGCACTACAATCTGAATAAAGCCAAACTGTTCAATAATTCATTGTCGGTCGAGGTATTCCTATTTATCACTTTTAATATTACTACACGTAAACTATTTTTCTTTATTTTTCATATAATATCGGTCCACGATTTTCTTTGTAGCGTTTATCAGGAGTGGGTTGCTGATGATTTACATATAAATCTAATTTTATATGCTTAAAAAAAAAACAAAAATGTACAATATTATAACAGACATGTAAAACATCCATTACCGCTGCTGTACGATGTACGATACACGATATAAGGAAGTTGACTTTCGGTCAACAACTCATATTAGTAATACATACTATAAGACCTTAATAATTGTCTACATCTTAATTATGTCCAGATTTTTTAAATTTGAATAGTATCATAACGGTATATCTGTTGTATATGTTGTACACACTGCACTATTATTATTATTATTATTATTATTATTTTTATTTGATAAAACTAAGGTTATGTTTTTCGTTATGTGATTGTGTGAGTGTATACCACATCACTACATTAGTTCTTTATTTTAAGTTTTATTATGTTATATAAATTAGTTATTGTACAAATAATGAATTGTGTCTTATTGTAAAATGGATGTACAAATAAATAAATAAAACAATATCTATAGCCTACATGCATGTAACGTGTACGACAGCAACCGGAAAAATAGAATAATTTTTTTTTAAATATTCTGTGAATATATTTTTTTCCATTTGCAGAATTTACAACATGACGTGATGGAGCAACCCGACCAGCAGTGCTGTGAGGACATCGAGTGGTTCGTGGACTTGGTACACAAAATGCTAATTGTAATGCCGGAAACGCGTATAACAGCGGTTGACGCACTCGCTCATCCGTTCCTGACGATCATGCATTTCATCAAGTACCCGAGCACAGTGATGACCAAGAAAAACACTAAATTTATGGAATCGTGTATGCTGGACATTTAAATTGAAATCAACTCCAGTGTTGTTCCGGCACCGTCTCCCACATGTCTGATCCAAAAATCAGCCAACACTTCCCACCGATCAGCACCATCGGAGAAAGTTTTTTTTTTTAAATAATCATATATTATGTGTAATATATTTAGTGTACAAGATGACTGTATCATCTCGAAGACATCGAATACGATAATAATAAAGATAACTATGCAATACCATTCGCGCTGCGTTATGTATTGGTTATTATATTATTGAATAAATAGTTCGAGGGATCATGGTTTATATTTGGGTATAACTAATGTTCGTCCGTCGTGGCTGTCTACACGGGTCGAGAGGCTGATATTTCGATGTTTTGCGTGTTGAGATCCCCTATATTATAGCGATCCCCAGGGAGGATAACGGTCTGAATATTAATCTCCGCGGGGACTCTAGGATCAGGTATAATATAATGCGCCTACCTTATGGTTTTATATCGTACCCATGGCGAGTTGCCAGCAATAAATTCCATTTTGTCACGTTTTTGAAATCGCATGTCTGTAGTTGTTACTTAAGGTACTTCGTACTTTCGTCTTAAATTTTTAGATGAAAGGAAAACAAATGCTTAAAAATGCTTAAAAATGCTTTAAAATGACATTTTCAACTGTAGAAGCCAGATTTGAGAAATAATACGGAATTTCTGGAAATCTGAACATAAATGTTGGGAACTAATAACCATTCGTGTTTACTCTCGTTGTGCCTATAGTAGTATAGAAGGGGGCAAGTGTACCTTGTCAATTGTCATTAGGTCAGTCGACGTGTTAAATATTTTTAACGATAAATCATTGCATACGAATCATTGCATATGATTTGTTTTTATATTACTAAGTACATTTTATGATGTATTTATATTGCTATTAAAGTGATCTGTTTTATTATTTGTAATACAGTAGGTATGAGTAGCTATGAGAAAGCTTGTATTAAATTGTAAAGCCTTTTTCCAGACTGATAAACAATGTTTTCATCGATATATTTGTAGAAGAAAATCAACAATTTTAAACGTCTATGTATACATCAAAGGACTCATACTTTGAAAATGTCATCATGTATAGCAAATTCTAACATAAATATTTAGTGAAAATTCCAAGAATCTACAATAATTATATTTTGTTAACCGTTTTAGAGTCACATCAAAAAAACAAAATAGATTTTGTTGAAAACTGGGTTTGAGTAAATATTTCTGTTTTTCATTCATTTTTTCCTATTATTTGGAAAAATGCTGAACAATTTTTCTCCTGAAATTTCTCCACTCTCCCAATATTCCAACTAGATCCAATTCGACCAGAAAGCACCTCTAAAGATAAAAATAACTACTATTTCATTCATGTATTGAGCAGACACATACGAGAAAAAAATGACCCGCTAACCTAACCTAATCTAACCATTGTAAAATAAGTATAGGTATTCATCGCTTTGTTCGGAATCCAAAATAATTATAGACAATAGCGCGGTTGTTGTAATTGGTAAAATACGCGTGTAATTGAAAGTTCTGCATACTCACAGATAATCATCACATCGTGCGTCGTAATATATTACGATACAGTATCACGGCGGTGAGTTCAAAAATTCCACCGCGGAAACCACCCTCTTCGCCGGCGATCCCTCGGGGTCGTTACGGTCTAAATATTCCTATATATTGTCCCATTTTACAACACACCCCCATCCACTACGCCGACGTCACCACTGTCATACAATATATATATATATGTACACCTACCTGGTTGGTAAAATCTTTATGTCACGCTGCAAAGTACGTGAATGTTATTTTAATAATACGTATGATATCGTCATGGGGGTATATTACTGCTGTAACGGACCCTGGCAGAGATCAAGCTGCAAAGGTCAAATGTGACAGCGTGCAGCAACGCTCCTCCCCGACGTAAAACTGCCCATTTTTGTAAAGGTACGCAGTGTATGCCGGTGCACCTGTATACCGATATATTTTTGAGCGCTTATGCGCGTAATAGTAATAATATTACTATGGTATAGTGTTCATGGTACAATATGGTATGAACATCGACCGCGGACGGATGATAATCTATACCAAACGCGCGGGGGGGAGTGCGGCAACAAAAGAGTCCGTCCGGGATGCTTTAAACAAACAGGCCCTTGGGGGTTGGGTGCGTAAATTACTGGCGTCGCCGAGAAAAACTCAGTATTACGGCATACAGCGACGGAAACCATTCGACCACTCGTCTGACCTACTGCCCGCCAGCCGAGTAGCGTCCGTTTTTAGACTCTCGAAAGAATAATATCATAATATTATTATTGTTGTGCATCGCTGTTGTCGTCGGCGTACTTTTTTGTTTGTGTGGTAAATTATTGCGAGCGAATATTATGCTGTTGTATGCGTTCGTCGTCGTAATAATTATTTGAAAACAATACACTGCAGCAATGATGAAATAAATATTATTGTACCATATGATTCTATTTTAAAGGCCAAAAATCGTGTTCTCAAAAAGTATATTAACTAGCTTTTTTTTAAAGTACTATTATGACTTTAAAATCACTTTGAATTTTTTAATGTTGTTATTTTAACTTATTTGTACGACATCCTACATTTTTATTTTCATATTCCAAAGTAAAATATTTTTGAGAGACACTATATTACACACATATCAGATTTTCTACAAGTGCCTATTTTATTTTGTGATTATAAGTAAGGTTTGGATCTGTATGCATTAATAGTAATAATTAAATATGCACTTATAGAGTTCAAAAATATATTTAAAAAAAAAATTAACATGCTACATGAAATTTGATTATTCTCATTTAATATCTAATTATTATTATTATTATTATAAATGTCTCTATTGACTATTACGTGTAAATATACGTAATGAAGCAACATTAAAACAAAAACCAAAAACTATAAGTCACAAGAATTGTTCTATATTATTTACTTTTGTGAAATAAATTTTATTTGTGATTTGTTATTATATACTTACATGACAAAAAACTACGCTTTACATCAACACTTGTGATTAGTGAATATACTGAAATAGCCAATATTTCAATTTCTGGTGAATAATTTTGCATGTGAAAAATGTAATATAACTATGTACCTACACTTACATACTTAACCCTCGATATGTTCACAAATAAAAAAAAATTCAATATACTACTGTATTCTTTATAGAGGTTGTAAAAAACCTTTTTTCCACTATAATTTAGGAAATAATTTATATCATGAAAAGTGTCTATAATTTTTTTAGCCTCTCGGTGAATCTTGTGTGCCACACAATAAGTCATGTGATTAAGATAAAATGGCTTTAAATGGTTCGAGACTTTATATATTATTGTGCAGGCTGCTCTATCAGAAAATATCAACAAAACCGCCTTCTATAAAAGCTATATTGTATAAACCATAAGATATATAATGTATGATATGCAACTACCATAATAATAGTTTAACCGTAGAAATTTAAAATAAAAATATGTTTCTCAAATCATATTACTTAAAATATAAATATAAATAAAAACAATAAGAAAACATGGTGCTTTTTGATTCAAAAATATTTTTATTAACCGTTAAACTGTCCAGTTTGTTTACAAAACTTATATTTAATAAAATTATTGATTTTTGTATAATATACAAAGTTCTAGATACAGATTTATAAAAAAACTTCTTATCGTTGAAAAATAATTATAATTATTCATTATTTCTGAGTTCATCATGGTAAAAAATATATTATATTACCATAATACTACAGCAACTGATAAAATTATCAATGGTGCAAAAAAATGGTCTTGTTAGTTTCAGATAGAACCCCAACCAAAAGACATATTCATGTAAAAAAAAGAAGCCAAATATTGAAGAGTTCCATTTTTTTCAACAAATGAAACTCAAATTTTGTTAGGTTACCAGAATTGTTACCAGAATTTCCACTCCACTATACTGATTTAAACATTAAATACATTTATAAAGATTTATAATACTTAAAGCTTTTATTTTATCTTCAATCTGCTTAGAGTTTTAAATTTGTGAGACAAAACTCACACTTTGAGTCCTAATAATATCTTCACGGTGCGTGGTCGTTCAATTTATATCAATTTAAATATTTAAATAATATTACCAGCAGTTACCATTGTTATTGTTTTTCAAAAAAAAATAGAAATGTAACATTATTCCTATTACAGTCATAGTAAAATTAATGTCAAGCCATAACTGGAGATATTTATAGTTGGTCATTAATTTAAATGGTACACTCATATTTTACAAGATACCTATTATGTTTAATAAGGTAAATTTTAAATTTAATCAAATCATGTGACTTAAAATGCAATGCCATATAATATGAATTTTAGGATATAAGCTATACAATAACACATACGTGTACAGGTAACAGATGTATTTCTCGTAGATCTTGTATAACCTATAAATTATTTATAACATAATATGTGTAATGTGTGAATAAATTATAGTTCTATATAGTCTATTGTTGGTGGTAATCAATGTTAGGTGACAAATTATACTTGGCGAGAAAAACATTTTTAATTAAAATTCGAATACATTCACCTAAGTGATATTGTGAGAGTATAAATAAAATAAAAATTTAATTTTTCAAATATATCGTATTCTTACAGCTAAAATGTCAATAGGTACCATAAATTCAATACGCCTTCGCACAACTTTACTTTCTGTCGTTGTAACTTATATTGATCAAATTTCAATAAACTACAGAAAATAAATAATGAAAAATAATAATTTCCGAGTGTAACATTTTTATATAATCTAATATAATGTACACATATTAGAAAACATACATTTTAAAGCAGAAAAAATTGTATTTTTTTTATTAAAAAGTAAAATACCAGAATAAGCATAATTTATACTCAAACATGATATATTTTTTATTAATATTGTTGTGCTGTTTCGTTTAATTCTGTTGGGTACAGTTTATTTAATATAGGTATAATGCGTTTTATGTTTTATACAGAATATTATGTGATCAGTGAATTTGAAGAAAATAACTTCTACGATGTTTTATGATATGATCTAAACTAAACGCAGTTCCCTAAAAATAATTTGTTTTATGTCTTATTTATAATATAATATATTTTTAATATAACATTATTGTTGCTAAATATTACTATAACTTGAATATTTTTTGCTGGTTAGGAAAACAAGCTCAGTTAAATATTTGAGAGAGCAACCAGCTTCAGGATACGTTAATCACTAGTATTTCGAGAACTGAAATGAGAAGACGATAAAAACAACATCCGATCAAACTCATATTATTATAGCCATACTGTAAATCAAATATAATACTTTTAAGTCAGTAATGACTATAGAATA